TCTGAAAGACTTTTAAAAATAGTTTAAAAAATCAAAGATTACAGGTTTAAAAGGTCAAAACTATTGCTCGGAAGATCCTTTTAAAGGAGTCTGAAAGTCCTTTTAAAAAGGGTTTAAAAAAATCAAGGATTTCAGTTCAAAAGGTACCGACTCTAAACACAAATTTAAAGGATATCTTGGTAAGTCCTTTTAGATTAACCAAAATATGTTCTCTAAAGTACATCAAAGTCCTTTAAAAACCATTTGTAAATTGAATTATAAAGCTCTAAAGGTCTTTAAAAAATTGTGAAAATATCGATAGACCTTCGAAAATTTGTCGGTAAACTTAAGCCCCCTTCCTTCGTTGCATAGTGGTGTAGGGTTAAAACCCCCCAAAATGAAAAAACAACAACAGTATTATTTTCCCGAAAAAAAAAACTCTACAACAACAAAAAAACTACCAAATCCAGACAACATCAACCACTACTTCCCTACAAAAAAATTAAAATTTGTATTTATTTTCTAAATAAATTCAAATTCTTCCCCAACATCCAAAGTCGATAATACGTATTTTTAGGCTTTTACTTTGGCTAACCAATTAACAAAAGTTTGTAACTCCAAGATAAGCCAATGTATTCTTGGGTAAAAGTTCCGCCAGTTGCAGTGGATCTCACAGCATTACTAGTCCTCATCCTTTGAATTCCTGCCATAACCACTGCATTGCAGGCCACATGCTAATCCTGCTCGCCCTAGAACTTTTTCCCTAAGATTATCAAAACCAAGTAATTTTAGTTAATAATTCATTGCTTTTATCCCCCTTACATCTCTACTGCTCTCCAATTTAAGTACATTGTAGTTTTAAATTTTCTAACAACCAATCACCAACAAAAAAATATTGCTCATTTATGCAAAACTGCTAGCAATCAAAGTTTATTTTTTTAACTCCTACTGCTATACTTACTCACAGAAGTTTTACTCCTTTGCCCCCTGTTTTCAATTGTTTTTCGTATCCTTATGCCAAAAAATTTATGCTCAATTATTTATTTTTAGAATTTTGCCCTCGCTTGTTTTTTCTTTTTCCTTTCCAACTATTTCGTTCGTTGCATGTCAATTCCAAAAAAAAAAAAAAAAGTTAATAATATTTTATGCAAGTTTCAGTTTTGCTACAACCCATTAATATAAGATTTTTTATCCTTAGAAACAAAAAATAAACAGGAAAACGTATCGGTAAGCTTTCTTATGTTCTTTTTCCTTGAGATTTATAAATATTTAAAAATATTGCTAATTTATTAACAAATATAATTATAAGAATTGATTATAGATAGATAGCTAAAGTAACCAATAACACAATATTGGAAGTTTAGGAACACAGAACCAGGACTGAAATGAGTACATTGGGAAGTATGTACTGAATTATTACAATTCCTAAGAGCCAGAGCATATTGCTGCTCAAAAAAATGTTTGAAACCTTCTCGATTTCATATAAATTATTATTGTGGCCCTAATGAAGTTGAATTAGTTATTAATTCCATTTAAATTATGGCCTCTATCCATATTTGGTCCATTACAACATTTTAATCTTCTTTGCTAATTAAGGTCATATTTCTGTATAACGATTTCGTAAGAAAAATATATTTTTAAATGTGATTTTAAAATTTTGATTTTTTTTTAAATTTTGAATCCTTCCTGGGGGAGCTACCAAAAGAGTGCGCAGATCTTGTATTGGTAAAAATAATAGGTGTGTAACATTGTAGAAAGCCGGATGCTTGCTTCGGTTTTATGATCGTTTTGGCTATTCAAAATGTTGACCCTTTGTAAGGGACGTACCAGAAGAAATGGTCCGATCCATCTTTATAACAGATCGTGTATTGATGGAAATATTGAAATGTGCCAAGTTTGATTTGAATTGGATATTTTTGACTCGCGTTTTATGAGATTCATTGGTTTTCAAAATGGTGCCCCTTTGGGGGAAGAAGATATTTCCAATCTTCACCTGCAGCATAAAAATAATGTGATGTGTGAAATTATAAGACATTCGGAAAAAGAGAAATATTATTATTATTATTATTATTATTATTATTATTATTATTATTAGTATTATTATTATTATGATTATTATTATTATATTATATTATATTATTTATTATTATTATTATTATTATTATTATTATTATTATTATTTATTATTAGTATTATTATTATTATTATTTTTATTTATTTTTTTTTTTTTTTGAATTTTCCTATAGCTTCCATGCAACTTCGCTCAGTATATATTCAGTAAAACAATAAAAGAAAATTCAAAAATTTCAATGAATTAAAAACCAATTTAAACAGTTAGGTCGGGCAGATTGCATAAGCGTATCTTTCTGCGAAGACAAACCCGGTGATATTCTTCATTTTCTTGCAAAATTTGGTACATCGAAATGTTATTATCAAATTTAGATCGAGTTCGAAGTTGAGCAATATCGGTCAACTCTTTCGGCTACCTCTCTTCAAGAGGTCAAGAATTCACACAAATATTAATGTACCTTAGAACAAGTAGTAGAAGGTCTTCCCATAGAAGACCCGAAGGTCTTCTCATAGTATAACCCGATTGTCTTCTCATAGAATGTGATGTAAGTGTCCGATAGTCCTTCAAATTTCACACATTCCAATATTTTTTCTTTAACCGAAGGTCTGATGTGAAGATGAGATATATCGGACCATTCCGTCTGGTACCTTCCCTACAAAGGGTGAAAGTTTGAATAACCGAACGATTATAAATACGGAATATACATCAGGTTATCTTCATATTTCACACATATCATTATTTCTACTAAATCAAGATCTGTTGTGAAGATGGGATATATGGGTCAACTCCTCCTTGTACCTTCCCCGCAAGGGCCAACATTTTGAATATCTATAAAACGCGAAATTAAAATCAGACTCCATTCAGACTTGGCACATCTGATATTTTTATAATCGCAGGATCTGTTATAAAGATGGTAGAGATGGTAGAAGTGATGATAGACATAAGCATTGAAAATCGTGACCCTCTGTGGGTTGGCAGATGTAAATCATCTTCACCACAGACCTTGCGTTGGCAATAATATTTGGATGTGTGAAATTTGAACAGAGTTGGAGCGTTTTGTTTTTCAAAATCTTGAACCCTATGTGGGGGAGGTAGCAGAAGAAATGGTGCGATCTCCGCCACCTTTAAAAAAAATTGTGTTGATGGAAACATTGAGTTGTAGGAACTCCGAATGGAATCGGATGTTAATTTCACGTTTATAAGCTTCATGAATATTCACAATTTTGACCCTTTGTGGAGCAGGTACGATGTGTCCCATCTTCAGAGCAGATCTTGTATTAGTAGAAATAATGGAATGTGTGAAATATGCAGAGAACCGGAAGCTTATTTCGGATTTTTAATTTTTTTTTTTTATTATTCAAAACTCTGACCCGTTCTGGGGGAGGTACCAGAAGGAATTGTCCGATATCTACCATATTTATAACATATCTTGTATTGATAGAAATATTGAGGTATGCCAAGCCTGAAAGGAATCGGATATTAATTTCGTGTTCATGTTCATCGGAACATTCCTTCTGGTAAGTTTTCTAGACGATCTATACCATCTCTATAAAGATTTTGTGTTGAAGTAAATATTGAGATTCGCCGAGGCTGAATGGAATCGGATGTTAATTTCACCATTTATGGGTTCCATGGATATTCAAAATTTTGACCCTTTGTGGGGGAGGTACCAGAAGGAGTAGACCAATGTATTCCACCTTAACACCAGACATCGGGTTAATAAAATTATTGGGATGTGGATTTTATAAAAATTGTAATTATTCTAA